AATATAAATTTATTTTATATATTTATTATTAAAATATTGTGATGAAAAGAGATGGCGTATATAATATGTTTATTTATTTATCAGAATACAGTTGTCAGTCCAGTTTGTAAACAAATTTCTGTATCAGCGGGGGTGTTTTGGGATGGGGTACAGAGATATGAATGAGAAGGCCTCGCATGCACAGCAGCTCTCGTCCCTCAGGTGGTCGGGTCTTAAAGTCAGAAAATCAAGCAAATGAATAATTCAGAGGAGACTTTTTACGACACCCCCCACCTTCCTCCAGTTTGAGAGTGGAATTTCTCAGCCTTGTTAAACTGCGAGGGCTGCACAGAGAAGGCCATAAACTGGTGATAGAAAGGGTTTGTTTGGGACACGGACATCATTAGGAGGATTTGATACCCAGATCTTCTGTCTGGCACTTGTTTCACATGAACCCTTGGTAACAATCACTCGTGGGATCTGGAGCTTCTCTCTGCAGTTACAGAGCGCTTCAGGAGCTCGCTTTCAACTCTTCTGTCTCGTTTGTGTCTCATCTGTGTTTCTGTTGCTCTGAAGAGTTCAGCGTCTCTCAGCTCATTTTAGCATGTTTTGGCCGTTACTTTAGCACCGCTGTTTCCTGTGATGACGACATTCAGCGAATCACGAGCGGCTGGCACTTCTAGAACTGAACCGCTGTTTCTCTCCATTCTCTACATTTCTCTACATACACATACAGATATAATAATATATATGAAATAACACAATATTTTGTATATATTCCCTATTATCTATTATTATATTTGATTAATTATGGTATTTTTTAGTATTGAAATTAATTTATTATTAAAATATTCAAACATTATTACAAATCTTTCATGTTTTTCATGTTTATTTTTATTTTTAATTTTTTTAACAGAATACAGTTGCCAGTCAGGTTTGAATGTAAATATTTTTTTACTTAAAAACAGGTTTCACATAATTTACACATTATTTTCACATAATTTACACAATTTACATTAAATGAAATTCTTTTAAAATATATTTTAAATAATATATATTTATTATATGTAGTGTTTTCTTTATTTTTAAAAGTTACAATTAAAGTATCAATTTATTTTATGTATTTATTATTTATATATATAATTATATATTATTTGTTATAAATGTATTATTGTTGTCAGCCTGGTTTGGAGTGTAACTACAGTAAATACAGTTATATATTGGATTTATTATTTATATATTTTTAATGATTTTCTAATTTGTTGTTATTAAAGTGTACATTTATTTCTTGTATGAATTAATTGCTACAATATGAAATAGTGATGATGTGATATAATTCATACATAGCATATATAATTTATTTTTTATTTATTTATTCATTTTATTTTTCAGTGTTATTTATTTATTTATTTTATTTTTTTACCATAAACAGTTGTCAGTCCAGTTTGGATTGTAAACGTTTCTTTTTATGCAGTTTTGCTTATAAAAAAAGAGACAAACACATTGTAATCTAAAAGACAACCTGAAATTTTTACAAAACTAACTCATTTCGAGAGGAAGTGTTTCAAAATGTGAAACCAATTACACAATTTGGCACATTAGTTTGGTTGTTACTGGATTTTGTCCGGTCTGAATTTGTAGTTTATTGTCATGTAAACCCGCAGCTGCTGTGCTTCATGCCGGTTTGAGTTTGAATTCTCCTTTTATTGAATCCTGCGGAGGATGGGAGTGATGTTGGGCTGGAAATGAGGTGCTGGACAATGCTGGTGTGTGTGTGTGTGTGTGTCCGTGGGGATTTAATATCCAGCCGTTCAATAGGGATGTGGCACTGAACGCCAGAGAGCGAGATTGCTACCTGTGCGCTCGCGTCGACAACTCAATTTCCCTTTTTTGGCAGCTGAATGCAGCCAATCAAAGCAGCCGTGTCGTCTGTAATGGCTCCAGACCCTCGGGGTGTTTGATTCTGTCTCACACTGACCATTGTGATTCACTGGAGGAACCTGCTAAAACTTCACACACACAATAACACGTATCGAACAGACATGCAGATTGAATTGAATGGAAATAAAATCTTCATCTGTGTATTGGGGTTTAAGTTTAAAGCTTGCAGCAAACTGGTTTTCAATCATCCTGTCGACGGCTTTCTTAGCTGTGACATTGATGAAGATGAGGTTAACGCTGCGTATCGGCCCTCGTCCCTGAATGTCAGAGGAGTTTGTGTGCTGAGAGCGCAAATGTGAAACTTTATCTTTATCTGAGACTAAATCACTCCAGAGCCAGGCTTCTGTCGCACTCCTGGAAGAGGAAGATCTCCTCTGTCCTCTCCTATTCTCTCTCCTGTCCTCTTCTCTCTCCTGTCCTCTCCTCTCCTCACCTCTCTCCTCTCCGCTCTTCTGTCCTCTCCTCTCCTCTGTCCTCTCCTCTGTCCTCTCCTTCTTTATCTGAGACTAAATCACTCCAGAGCCAGGCTTCTGTCGCACTCCTGGAAGAGGAAGAGAGAAAAACAGAATTTCATTGCTAGCATACTGTATACGGCCTACTGTTTTTTTTTTTTTTTTTATATAAAAAACACAGTATTTTTTTTTTAAATCTTCAATTTTAATAATAAATAAAAAATATATAAATATAAATATAAATACATTATAATTAATATTGTCCTGTCCTCTCCTCTCTCCTCTCTCCTCTCCTCTCTCCTGTCCTCTCCTCTGTCCTGTCCTCTCTCCTCTCCTCTCCTCTCCTCTCTAATTTCCCCTGATTGACAGAAAAGAATTCTTGAAGCTGCTCGGGCTGGTCAATAGCTATTTGAGCGGAGGGAAACCTGATCTGATGGTCACAATCTCTCTCTCTCTCTCTCTGTGTGTGTTGTGATGGCTCTCTCTTGCGCTGCTTTTCTTGGTGTGTTTGGTCAGAGAGGCAGTTTAACAGACATTTTGTGTGGAGCTGAAGCAGAGCCGCGCGGCTCCAGCCTGCTGTCCTCAAAATATATAAAGAAAGAGTTGGCTTACTGCGGAGGCCGAGCAGCAGATCATTAGCTCGCTGCAAATTGATTTCTCTGGAAGCCAATTGAGTGGCTTTGAGGAGAAACACCTACTCAAATGTTCTCCTATCGATCCGGCCTCTTAAACACTCATCCGATGGGCCGTTTGGGATCGCGCCTATTTATAGCATCTGAATGATTGCGATGGGTGTGGGCCTGTTTTCATCTGTGAGCTACGGCATTTAGGAGCGACAAGATGAATGGCAGTCGATTTGTTTCTTCCGAGCCGCGTGTTTCTCACCCGCCGTGTTTAATTATGTTGCTTGCCACACAAAACGGCCACCAGAAGTAAATAGGAACGCTTCAGTTTCATTGCTTTTGCCAACAGCGTCAGTCTCGTCTTGAACCGTCTCATCATATGAAGGTTTAATCCAGCAAGTGCTGTCCAGATATCATCTTATTTGGCTGAAATAAGTATATATAAGAATACTATATATAAGAATAAAAATGTAAAAAATACTAAAAGCAATATTTTATATGCATTTTTAATTTAATAATAAAATAACCATGAATATAATATAATTAATTAATAGAATTTTATATTAAATTACAAAATATGTTTGTGTATATAAAGAAAAAAGATGACAAAATATTAAAATAAAATAATATTTCATCTTGTCATTTTTATGTGAAGATTGAGAATCCTCATGATAGCTGATATATAAATGTGAATTTAACTGATATTATCTTTAAAATCTGTATTTTTAAATGTAATTTTATAATTTATATTTAACATGTATATATTTTGTGAAATTTAGTATTGTATATTTTTTAAAACTATTTTTTTATATTTTATTATTTTTAATAGCAATTTAGAATTGTATATTATTTCTAATCATTTATTTTATAAATATAATATAATTTATTGTATAAATTATACAATTATGTTAAATTTAATATATAAAATATAAAAATATTTTTTACATTTTTATTTTTAGACAATTTTATTTTAGTTTATATTTTAAATTTATATAAATTTTACTTAAATTTATTATTTAATCTAGAATTCCTTCAAGAATTTAAATGCTTTTCTAATAAGTGAAATTGGGCATCAATTATTTTTTTACATATTAAAACTAAACATTTTGATTTAGATTTTTTTTGTATCGTAAATATTATATATGATAAAATATTATAACATTATTGTTTATTATTTGCCGTATTCAAAACAATTCAATGATTTAAAACAGTACAGTACAGTACATAATGCGTGCGTATTTCTCTGGGCTGAAGCTCCAGCATCACACAGGTTTTAATTATTGAAGCTGATAGTGGCTCTTAAACAGGGTCAATCGTGCTGCGGTCACTGAGCAGCTGTTCCCACGGGCCTCTGCCTCAATCAAACCGCTTCACGTCGCTCCTCATGCCATCGTTTCCAGGCCAGACTTTGATGTGTCGTCCGTGAGCGTCTGAAATGAGTTTGTGAGGAGTTAAATGACGGCCTCGGGAATAATTCGGTCGCAGATGAACGCCGCGTTTCCAATAAAACCGTTCTGCATTGTAGCTTCCAATATAATGCCGTTTTGATGCAAATATAACGGCAAGTTGGAGTGGTTGTTGGCTTTGGAGGACAGGAGGAATGTGTGAGAAATGTGAGCTCTATTCAGCGCATTAGAAATGTAATTTCAGTGCCAGCTCTAGATTCCTAATCCTAATAAGCGGCTAAATAACTGGAGAGAGAATACAGGCCTGTTTGTCTTCATTTCTACAGCGTGTAACGTGTGCACTACAATAACTGCTGGGTTGTTTCACTTCAGGATTTACAACAGAACATCAACATGAGACGGAGTCTGCAACTCATTTCACTTCCATAATGTGACGTGTTTCTGAGAGAAACATGATTTTGAGCTGCATGTACTGGATATTGATTTGATTGGACGGTGAAAAGTGAGCGTTTTGTACCAGAATGGAGCCAGACTTGAGTGAGAGTTCCCTAAACGCTTATCTAGCTCTCTGACTGCTGGTTCACATAATTACAGTAGCTTTTATGGTCTAGATAGGAAATCGGATAGAAAGGAAAGTAATTTTAGTGATGGAGCAATTAATTGCATTTGTTGACAGATTATTAAAGCATTTATAATAGCATGGAAGTTATGTCTTGCAGTGTGACATGTTAAACTACATCCATTTCAAATTTTTTTATTTATTTTTATAATTATTATTTTATATATTTCTTTAGATATTTATAATTTTTTTTAATGATTTATAATTATTTTAATATTTTTTAGAATACATTTATAAAATATAAAAATATAAATCTTTTTTAAATTATTTATTATTCTACAATAACAAGTTTTGTTCTGTAGTGTCACATGCGAATCTTCTATCAAATTATTTACATAAATTAGTTTTTTAGAATAATAATTATTTTTTATAATAATTAA